CCTTCTTTAGGAAGGCCTGGATTGCTATATACTTTCCTCTTAGGACCGTCTTTGCTGCATCCCAGAGGTTTTGTGTTGTGGTGTTATCATTTTCATTGGCTTCCATATACTTTTTAATTTCCTCTTTAACATCTTGGTTAGCCCATTCATTCTTTAGTAGGATGTTCTTCAGATTCCAAGTATTTGTTACCTTTCCAAATTTTTTCTTGTAGTTGATTTCGAGTTTCATAGCATTGTGGTCTGAAAATACGCACGATATGATCTCAATCATTTTTTACTTACTTAGGGTGATTTGTGTCCCAGTATATGGTCTATTCTGGAGAATGTTCCATGTGCACTAGAGAAGAATGTATATTCTGCTGCTTTAGGATGAAATGTTCTGAATATATCTGTTAAGTCCATCTGGTCCTGTGTGTCATTCAAAGCCATTGTTTCCTTCTTGATATTTTGATTAGATGATCTGTCCATTGCTATGAATGGGGTGTTGAAGTCTCCTACTATTATGGTATTACTATCAACGAGTTTCTTTATGTTTGTGATAAAGTGATTTATATATTTGGGTGCTGCCACATTTGGTGCATAAATGTTTACAATTGTTAGGTCTTCTTGGTGGATAGACCCCTTGATTTTGATATAATGCTCTTCTGCATTTCTTGATACAGTATTTATTTTAAAGTCTAGATTGTCTGATATAAGTATGGCTACTCCAGTTTTCTTTTGTTGACCATTAGCATGATAAATGGTTCTCCATCCCCTTACTTTCAATCTGAAGGTGTCTTTAGGTCTAAAGTGGGTCTCTTGTAAACAGCATATAGATGGATCTTGTTTTCTTATCCTTTCTGTTACCCTATGTCTTTTGATTGGAGCCCTGAGTCCATTGATGTTTAGAGTGAGTACTGAAAGGTATGAATTTATTGCCATTATGTTGCTTGTAGAGTTGGAGTTTCTGGTGGTGTTCTTTGGTCCTTTCTAATCTTCATTTCTTTTGGTCTTTATTTATTTATGCATTTATTTTTTCATCTTTTCTCCCCTCAGAGAATTCCCCTTAAGATTTCTTGCAGGGCTGGTTTAGTGGTCACAAACTCCTTTAATTTTTGTTTGTCTGGGAAAGTTTTTCTCTCTCCTTCTGTTTTGAATGACAGCCTTGCTGGATAAAGAACTCTTGGCTGCATATTTTTCTGATTCAGCACATTGAATATATCC